AAAAGGTCGTATCCAGGGGGATACACTGTCATAAGCTTAGAAAAACGTGCTTCTCAATTAATATTTGAACAAGTACTATAAATTAGTAAAGACAACGTCACATCAGTGAATACTCTATAGTTAAATTCAAGCCTATAAGGCGTTTTTGATAAAAACGGTGCAAATGTTAATTTTTATAGTTTATTCACTGCAGTGACGTCTAATGTACTTTTTGTTTTGCTATAAGTCGGGCATCGAACCATCTAAGATTCATATCGCATTCATGAAGAACTTGCTTATCTGTTCATGGTTGTCTTTATTTTTTCCCCTAAAGTCTACCATTATAGTACATATTTTGTTGTGTCGGTGTTTTATTTTTGCTTGGGTTTGGTTTTTGGTGTGTTATTTGTTTTGGTTTGTTGTTCATAAATGCTTCAACGGGCTAGGGTTAACTACATTTTAACACCAGTACCCGAAACAAATGCACAGTCAGATGATAGTGAACTTTCAGATGTTGAAGAAGAGTTTTTTCATCCACCAGATGACTACTTGAGCTCTTCTCCACCTTAGATTCTTCACTTGAGCAAATGAACATACAGCTATATCTCCGAACAAGAAGTCCAACCCTCTTCTGGACCTCAGCCTGGTCTATCTCCTACTCAAGATAGTATACCTTCTACTCCCATTCAAAACGTTGCTCTATCTCCGGTATTGAGAGCAGTTTTTTGCCTCTATCAACGAAACTGAATACAACTCTATCCCTTCTATCAGTTCTATTCCATCGCTGCCGTAACGTCTGCCAGTTAATCCATCTACATCTCGTCTACAAATTGGCACGAGATCCACAAGGCGAGTCCGCCTAAAAGCGAAAACAGCTAAACGAGCTGGCGAAAAACAAAGTTTCCACATAATGCCTCTACAGAACCATTTCTTTTTAGAGATCCACCTTCTGAAGAAATTTCGACAAGAAAAAAGTTATCGAAAACTAGAGTAGACCAGGATGATGTTCCAGGCTCCAGTCAAAAATAAAAAAGCCAGTTGCCTCTCGTCCAATCGATGAAATACGGTATGAGGGAGCAGACCACTTACCAATTTTTGAAGAAAAAGGTCGATGCCGCTTGTGCAAGACTGGCCAGACTTGCATTAGCTCTTCAAAGTGTAAAACTCATTTATTTATGTCGAAAACAAGGAACTGTTGTTACGAATTTCACATTAAAATATAAAAATTATACCATTGTTTTATTTTTACTTTAAGTTACGTAATTGAGCATTGTGTCCTATAAGATACACTAACAAACGATCATAAATAACTCCCCTTTTTTCAATGTGAACATACAGTACACAGTGGATACAGTGGATTTTCAGGAAACTGTAAAATTTAGATTTTTTATTTTATTTTTTCAGGCTTCTATGTTAATAATTAAATAGATATATATCAAAATTTCTTTAAAAAATAAGAAAAATATGTGTTGCCAAATAAAGGTTGTAACACCATAGGATTAAATATCATCACGCCGCCCGTTACTAGATGGCGTTGTACGCATGTGAATTGCGCTATCGTATACCGACACCGATTGTATGGCACATCATAGGATCAAATATCATCACGCCGACCGCTACTAGATGGCGCTGTACGCATGTGAATCGCGCTATCGTATACCGACACTACTTGTATAAGTTGTTCTTGGGAAATTGACCAGGTCCCCCGGTAGGTGGCGCCGCGCAACACTTTACTCGTCCCTTGAACGGGTAAAGTGTTGCGCGGAGCAATCACTAGGCCCCCGATGTACTCTTAACGGCTTGTTTAAGTCGGAACGGAGTTTCCTCTCAGTTAAATGTAATAGCGACGACCGCACCCCCGTCCCTTAGAGGCTACGGCCGACAGCAGCCCCTCTGGCTGTTGTAATGCCCACCCTGTTGCGAGCGGCCTTCCGCAGCTCACCAAACCGATACGGGCGTGCTCCAATAGGGAGCCGCTCGTCAAAGAAGCGCATATGTGCTAGTTATCACTAGGCAGCGCTGCATCGTCCCCTTCTCAGGGGACGATCGCATCCGATGAAGCCTTAAAGGCCTTCCCGGCCAGAGGCAGTCCCAACGGGTGTTTTTTAGTCAGTAAGAGTCTGACATAACCCTGCAGCCGGCTGCAGGGTATCCATGAGGATTTCTCACCCGCTCCCCCGCCTGGGAGGAAACAAAAAAAAAAAAAAAAAATTGACCAGGTCGTCGCTTCGTAGGTAGGGCCTATTGTCTTGCACGCTATACGCTTCCACCACGTGGGACGTCTTAGTGTCTTGATAATAGTATACGTGTACTTCCATCCTTATGGGATACAGTAATACCATTTCTCTTACAATTGTATTGCATAGTAATCAGAATATAAGTATTTTCTACCTACGCCTATCTTTATTTGACGTCAGTCTTCTCACACCTCCCCCTTCGCCCTCCCGCACATTCTTACAAGGAATAAACATAATACATTTTTATATTGATAAGTGGCACATCACACTCGAACGTCACCAGTCACCACACGTTCGTTACTATGCTGCCGGAACAACTTCGAGCCTCCGAATGGATGAGTAATGGTGGGCGCCTAGCAACAGAAGAGGCTCTATGAGGAGACCTTGGAAACAGTCAATATCAACAATGATAAAAAAACGAGCGAGCCTTACAGTAGTTGCATATGATGTGTAACATTTGAGACCTCACCTTATATTGGTAAAAAAAGAAATAAAACCTAGCACAAAAGGAATAAGCCATTTGAACATTATGTACTCAAATCAAATCAAATAGCGCGCGCTTTCGCGACTTCCTGTTACACACTTCCATCCAATTTCACAAAATCACTCCCACAAATTGCAGGAAAGCGAGAGGAAAGATTTCACATCAAAAAAATCTATCTTATTTTATGTTCATAAAAACCAGACATCATCATCATCACATATCTTGCTCACATGCAGAGAGACGCAAAAAAGTCTGGACTGCAAATATACGAGCCTCTTTTTTCCAATTGCAATGATAAATAATTTTAAAATTTAAACGTGATGAGACGAGACCTATACTGTAGACTGTAGAGTAAGTTATTATTAAAATAAAACTTCATCACCATAAATGTTTCGTTCTTCTTTATCATGTTGTAGAAAGCTCTCCTGCCACACACATGGGCGGGAATAGAACCTGTTCTATTCCCAGTCGTGGGTAAAGGACTTTTTGAAGTTATACTTCTTTAGGCGCGTTATGAAAAAATTTGAGAGTGAAATTTTAAGATGCGCGCGCATCACTGTAACACAAAATATTAACAGCATGAAGTTGTTCGCTGTTACTTTTGTGTTTACCGCACATTAAGAAAATCTACTAACAAAATAGAAATAGAATCTCTATTTAGTGGGTGCTAACGACTGCATTGTGAAGGCCTATCAAAAGTATTTATTAATCTGGAACAACGGAACCAAAGCGCGATTCAGGAGACTACAGCGCCATCTCTTGACCATTGGTGTAGTAGAACCAAAAACCACATCTTTATTTTTTGTAATAAAGTAACAGTTATAGGTTATAGCTATTAACGGGATTGTTACCATGTACCTTGTTTTTTATGAGTCTCCGATATTTCGGCACTGTTGCAAGCGCCATGATCACGGAGTAACTGAAGTAATTGCGGGTAGATGTTATTGGCAGACATATCGGTCTACCCTCTGACGTCGTCTTTTACTGCGCTCGATACCCCTACCATTGGTCACGTTCTCACTATTCACTCGCACCTGTTCCCGACACACAATACTCACAGTATGCGATCGCGGAACGACACTTTTTTGATTTTTACGGTTTTTGCACATACGAACCACTGGATTCCAGACACTTGACAATTTAAACTCATCCTCACGATTGAAATTTTATGTAATATTTAATACTACTGGTGTATATAAGATCGACTGCAGCTGTGGTAGTTCATATATTGGCCAAACGAAGCGGACAATAGCGTGCCGAATGAAAGAACACATAAAAGCAGTCAGAAACAATGATACGCAGAAATCAGCTATCGCGGAACATTTAATCGATTCGGGTCCGAACCACTGGATTGAGCTCCATAATCCACAAATCATCTCGACAGAACGCCACTACATACCAAGATTGGTCAGGGAAGCGATTGAAATAACCAAACACAAAAATTTCAATCGTGAGGATGGGTTTAAATTGTCAAGTGTCTGGAATCCAGTGGTTCGTATGTGCAAAAACCGTAAAAATCAAAAAAGTGTCGTTCCGCGATCGGATACTGTGAGTATTGTGTGTCGGGAACAGGTGCGAGTGAATAGTGAGAACGTGACCAATGGTAGGGGTATCGAGCGCAGTAAAAGACGACGTCAGAGGGTAGACCGATATGTCTGCCAATAACATCTACCCGCAATTACTTCAGTTACTCCGTGATCATGGCGCTTGCAACAGTGCCGAAATATCGGAGACTCATAAAAAACAAGGTACATGGTAACAATCCCGTTAATAGCTATAATGTTATGAGCATGAAAGTTTAAAACAATATACAGTTATAGGTATTCATATTTATAATATTTATCCACATGTTTCTAGTTTGTATATTCGGAATACATGTTTGAGTTTCATACAAGTGCAAATCACATATGTTCCAATAAATTATATTAAGTAGCGATTTTAATTGAATATTTTGATTATTTATTTATTTTTTCAAATTAAAACTGAACTTTATTGACTGTGTCCTTTTCCAGACTTTTTATTAATTTATTGTAATTAATTATTTGCATGCAATTAAAAACTAATTTTAAACAATGCCAAAGAAGGATAAACTTCTCACGCGCCTACATAAGTACACGCACCCATTTTTTTTATTTTATATAAAACGGAGTAATGTCAGCTTCAAATGAGTATCCGAAAAAAATCAGTTTAATGCCTACGTTTCGAAAAAAAATTAGGCGATGTAAAACACTTTCAAACTTTCAGTTGTATCGTGGTCTACACCATTCATTTTTATATTAGCATAATGCTGTATGTTAAATCGTCAACCAAAAGTTCAAGGTATAATGTGAAGCCGTAAAAATTTGGTCCTAATACACTTCTGATGGTTTCGCAAAGCAGTGCTTTATTAGTGGCCGTGTCGAGTGTTGCTCTTGGCAGTTTTATAGGTATGTCACCTACTTTTTTATTACAGGGTAATGATGGAAAGCCACATCCATTCTCTTTAATCACTCCATATTGAACTTTTTAAATCCCCTAATTCACATTAATCATATTCTGTTATTAAAATTTTTAATTATAAAATGTTTGTCTTTAACTTTAAATTAAAAGTCTATATTGATCGATCGGTTCTTTCCCAATAATATTTTACTGTAATTAAATTATTATTTCGGTGCAATGCATGTCTGATTAATCTGAGTTCCCATTTTCTACTTGGGTTGGCATAGCACCGACTCCAAAAAAATATTAATTTGACTTAAGATAAAAAGAGTTTATTAATAGGTTGAGGAAAAAGTCTTTTCGCATTAAAGAATGTACAAGTTCATTCGTAATAAAATCTCTTCGACTATACCATTTGTATCTGGCTGGTTTTGGTATTATTAAAAAGATTAAATTTTAAACAAGATTATTCTAAATTCATAATAGAAAAATGTGTGATTTTCATTTGTTTACCTGACTGTCAAGATGAGTGAATCTACATTGAAAATAGTTATTTAAGGACTTTTTGGCGGGATCGGGAAGCGTCACTTTGGCAGTTTTGTTTTTCTTGTTAAAAATTGTGTTGTGGCGGATGTTAGTGTATAATAATGGTGGGTTATTAACCACTAAGTGTTCGGGAACATGCACAAGTGTTGGCAAGTGAAATAAAATAGTGGAAATGTCTTTCGACGTTCTCTCAAGAAGTCCACGGGGAGGTTCCAGTAAATCCCCACACTTTTACTGAAACATAGGGAAAGGGGGATTGACTTGACTGCCACTTACTTTGAATTGATTTGTTACTTTGACCACGAGTGCTATAGTTTATTTGTAAACATTTTAACATTTGACATGGCTAAATGCACAAACCGTGCGAAGCCATTTAGATAGTAGTTATAATAGTTAAAAATAAAGATTTTATGGACAAATTGGCCCCACCGTGAACTCCCATTCCCATGCTCAACACTTCACAGGTTTTGCAATCGTCATACAGTAGTAGCTCTGGATTAAATCGTCCTTTCTCCCTTCAAGAACTTAAGAGTGCTGTTTACGACTATAAAGATTCTGCCCCTGGGGTAGACGGAATTCCGAATTCGTTTTTCGCCAATGTTAGTGATCATATTACTTGCAACTTATCAACACTATCATGTAAACAGGTGATATACCTCTGTCATGGAAGTCACAAATAGTTTTGCCCATACTCAAACCTAATAAACCACCATCACATGCATCTTCATACCGTCCAATAGTTTTAGCAACTGTTTTAATAAAGCTAGATGAAATTTTAATAAAACATCGCCTAGAATGGTTTTTGGAAAGCAGAGGCATATCCAAAACACAATACGGAGGGCAGAAAGGGGAAAGTACAATATGCAATTTAAGTATTTATCAACCGATATTCGTCTGGCTTTCACATATAACGGATCCGTAGTAGCAACCTTTTTGGATATAAATTCTGCATATGATCACATATTATTATCAACTTTTGTGAAAAGTAAAATAGAGACACTAGAGGACACATGTTAACAAAATTTATTATGAATAATATACTAGCCGAACGAAAATTAATAATTAGCTTACCGAATAGTCTTGAAATACAAATAACTGTATGGAGAGGCTTGCCCCAGGGATCAGTTCTTAGTCCTTTACTTTACAGTGTATATACTCACGATTTTGACACTTTATTTGAAAATAATATTAAGTTGTTGCAATACGCTGATGATTTATTCTACAAACCGTCACATAGATAATTCTACTTTGCATATTGACTCAGCTTTGCGTTCTTTGAGTTCTTGGATGAACGATAACGGTCTAGAGTTATCTGCTTCAAAGAGAAAGTACTATTGTAATATTCTCATGAAAGAAGAATCCCCCTCCCGTTAAAATGTATTATAATAATATGTTAATTCCCATTGAACGCCATGTAAAGTTTGTGGGAGTCATGTTGGATTCCAAACTTATCGGTAGTGCACATTGTGATTTTATTATAAGTCAAACTGAACGACTTTTAAATCTTCTCCGATGTCTTTCAGGAGTTTGGTGGGGGGCCCATCCGCAATCCTTATCCTGTATAATGCATTAATCCGATGTGTACTGGACTACGGAAGGGAAAGGAACCATCACCCCCATTTCCTTAGGGTAGATTTTTTTTTCCAAAATCTAGAACCAACTTTGAGGCCAACCAACCCTATCCAATAAAACCGGCCAAGTGCATGTCGTGCCACGCGCAGTGATGGGTTCCGTAGATATTATATTGTGGTTTTTTAAATAGTTTTTTTTTTTCATTTTGTTTTCAAATACAGATGCAACACAACACACGCGTTTCTTTATTTCGTTCACAAGTCACAATCAAAAGAAAACCTTAATACCTTTAACATCGTGGTTATAAACAATAGAAAAAAAGTAAATTGACCTGTTGACCTTGACTGTGGCTCGTATCGGACCAGTGGCGGATTTGCAGTCCCGGCCGCTCTAGGCCCCAAGACATCAGCCGCCTCTTTTCTCAGCATTCACCATAGCCTAAATAATTAAATTACTTTATTGCCTACTTTTATCTTAATAGATTTAGATGGTAAGGAAAATAAAGATTTTATTTCTCAAGAATAGGTACTTGTTCATAAGTTGTCACAACTAGATATTTGCTGTAACATACTCTGCCAACTTGGCATACTTGGTTATGATACTCGTAATTTTTACACGAGGTTTATCAACTTTTAACACCAAATTGATAAAAAAAAAATTGAATATCTAATAAAATACAATTAATTTGTACGGAGCTACTTGTTATTGCAAGTACGGGTAGGTAGTGTGGGTAAAAGTAATTATAAGTTTACTAGAATAAATAATAATAATAATAGCTACTAATGTCAAATATTTTACGAGGTTACAGGAATAATTGCACATTAAAATAAAACATGTAAACGGTTTTGGGTTTTATTTATTGAACTGCAGGTTAAAGAAAACAAGATAAGATATAGAACCGAATAGAATAGAATAATCTTTATTTGCATTAAATAGGGTTGACAAAAGGTGTTTGCATATAAAGCATATGTTAAAAGCTAATCATCTTAAACCTATTTAGTCATATTAATAGCATGCAAAAAAATCTAACATATTAAAATTCATTCATTAAATAACAAGTATTTTAATATTATAATTTAAATTCAAATTTATATCAACATCATTTACAATTCTCAATGTCAGTTCAAAATAAAATATTTTATGTCAATTTAGTGTGATAAACCTATAATAACAATTTTTTTTCAGTATAATAATTTAAGAGTATTATTCAATTCAATGTCAATTTTAATTACGATTCTTCATGTCAACTCAAAAGTAATATTCATGTCAATATATATTATATATATTAAAAATAAAATTTATTGACAGATTTGTCAATAGGTCTCGTCTCATAATAATTTAAAATTATTTACAATACAATTGGAAAAAAGTGGCCCGTATATTTGCAGTCCAGACATTTTTGTATGTCCCGGCATGTGGGCAAGATATGTGATGCTATATGTACGGCTTTTATAAAGATAAAAAAAAGGTAAATTTAAAAAATCAAAAAACCCGACTGCTTAATTATTCTTCAAATAAAAACTGAAAAGAAAAAAACAAGTCCAGTAGTCTATAATTCTGTTAATAAGGAACAAAGCTACTTTAACAGTCGGGACCCACTGTTGAAAAATATTATGTATTCTTGAATATCTATCCTTATTAACAGAATTATAGACTACTGGACTTGTTTTTTTCTTTTCAGTTTTTATTTGAAGAATAATTAAGCAGTCGGGTTTTTTGATTTTTTAAATTTACCTTTTTTATTTCACACTTTTTAGTTAGTATTTTAAGACGGTATATACCGTAGTCTTGTTCCTTCAGTAAGGGAATTAATATCGCGGGAATTATTAAGTACATTGCGTCGGTCTAAAAGATTGATTTATTAAGACATATAAAGACTTTACCAGCGGGGTCAAGGCTACAGATGGGCCTCAATCTTCGCAAAAATGTGTGAAGTTAAATCAAGTCGTTACACAAATATCTCTAATGTATGTAAATTTTATAGTAAACTAGTACTTACTTTTATTCGTCGACTATTTAAAATTGGCAGTGGCTGCATTGTCATGTCAATGCCGGACGTCTAAGATTGTGATATATACACAAATACATTTTGTCCGAGTGACATAGGCTATATTTTATCCCGATAAATAAATTTCGCCCGTACAATGCCCGGGTGGATCACTAGTAAGTATAATATAATATTATAGATGCGAAAGTGAGTTTGTTTGTTGCGCTTCCGTGCCCTAATAGCTAAATCGAACATAATGAATTCCCATATAGAAGTAGATGGGAACTTGGTTCTTAGCTACAACATCGCAATACTTATAGGCGTAGGGTGATGAAAGGGGTGATCTACCTATAAAAATCTACATTATTTACTTTGAATTTTGCAGAATTATTACAAAACCAATATTATCGCGAGCTAATTAATAAAATTCAATAATCATAAATACCTGTTATGATAATATATTTTTCATCATTTAATAAGAAGGAACTGTATCACAGTTTTAATGTTAGTACTTCGTATAAGATCAGATACTGCGAATACCCCATTTTTTTTCTTTTACATAGTACACCGCGCTATCACTTTGTCATCGTTGTAACTTTTTAAATATTTGTCGAAATGACATAGTGTAAAAAGCAAAGTTTATCGTCTTTAAATACCAAAAGCGATTAAAGTATTTGTTTTGATAAAAAAATGATTTGTTAATACAAAATGTGCATTTTGGAAATAGATATCAAATAATATTTTAGTTTTGATTCAGCGGTTTAGCGGTAATAACTTACACATTAAAAATAGATATATGGTGTCACGGACTTTTTTTTAGAACTATTTAAGAGATACATTTTCACTCTACATTACATTCATGTAACTTTTATTGTTTTTGCAGTGCAGGCCAAAATGGCTCGC